GGCATTGAGGGATGAGAAGTGCCCAAGAGGAATATATATTTGTTAAAAAGCCAAGAAGAACAGGGACAGGTACATTAGAAAATACGCCATGTTGCGTTTTACTCGCTGCAGTCTCACTGGACGTGCGATGATCTCTCGTGGAAGTCCGGAGTGGTCACATCGTCTGGACCTTAAAAAGGGGAAAAAAACGATACTAATGCACAAGCTTGGCACAAGCAAGCCCAACAATGCACTTCAGTACGCGCAGATGACACTGCATGACTTAACAGAATGGTGCCTCACGTATTCGCTGTGGCCGCTGACTTTTGGTCTGGCGTGCTGCGCAGTGGAGATGATGCACGCGTATGCTGCTCGTTACGACTTGGATCGCTTTGGCATCGTTCCGCGTCCCACACCTCGTCAGGCGGAAATTATTATCGTCTCCGGCACTGTGACTAACAAGATGGCGCCACTCCTTCGGAATATTTATGTTCAGATGGTAAATCCAAAGTGGGTTATCTCAATGGGAAGTTGCGCCAATGGTGGCGGTTACTATCATTTTTCATACGCCGTGTTACGTGGGTGCGAACGGGCCATTCCTGTAGATTTTTGGATCCCCGGCTGCCCGCCTTCCGCAGAGAGTCTTGTTTTTTGTCTACACACATTGCAGAAGAAGATCCGCTGGCATGAGATACAAAAGTACTCCGTCCGCGGCTAAAATCACCAGTGCACTCTCTCTAGTTTGGCTGCTGCCGAAGTGCTGAGTGGCGGAATCATTGAAAGCCTCCCTTTCTGTGGGGGGAAAGGCAGAGAAAACACCCTTGCCTACCGGTGAAGAAGGTATATATATATAAATATCATTCGAGAATGCCGTGCACAAACAAGAGGAAGAAGGAGGGGAAAAAGAGGAGGTTTAGAAGGAAGCAAACAGCAACGGAAAACATGTGGTACGGAGGAGGAAAAAAAGGATGATTCGGTTGTGGGGGGAACGGGGGAAGAGTTGCAGGTGCAGTAATGGCATGGCACCCGTTTACAGTAAAATGCTTGTGTCGAGGCACATGCATGGACTAAACCGAGCAATGAAAAGGGAGTTAAGGGGTTGGGAATAGGAATGAGGGGAGTTTATTTTATTTTATTTTTATTTTATTTTATTTTTTTTCTTGTAAGTGCGTGTGCTTTTCTTTCTTCCCTTCTTTGTGTCGTTTTGGACAGGTGTGCAGGAAAGTAAAAGGACGGAGTAGCAAGGGAAAACATATAGGGAGAGTGTGTGCGTGCGTGCGTGAGAGAGAGGAAGGGGGGGAAACAGTGAAGGTGGAGTGCATTTTTTCATGACGGTCATTTGTGATGGAGAAAAAAAGAAACACTTGGAGGTCAGGAAAATTTTGCCGCTCTTTTATTTTCCTCTCATTTATTTATTTCTTTTCTGCTCCTGGCAGCTGAGCCCTTTGCACGATTGCTGAAATTCAAGTTGTTACACACACAAAGCCATGCAACCCAAAATTTGCCACGTTGTCTTCTTCCGCCTTGACCCGGCGAAGGTGACGACGCTGCTGCCAACGGATGTACTCCAGCGGCACCTCAGCGTGCTCCGCGAGAAGGTGCCCGGTTTGTTGGAGTTGAATTTCGGGCCAACCGGCACCAACCTATACCCCAACTACGTTGACTGCAGCAACGGCTACACGCACTGTCTTGTGTCAAAGCACGCGGACGCCGACAAACTGAAGGTTTACGCTGAGCATCCGGACCATGTCGTTTTTGCCAACCTGTTGAAGTCTTCCTCGGCAGCGCCGCCAATTCGCATTGACTTTGAGCTGAGCGCCAGCAATGAGTAGCACGGTTTGATGTGAAGGTTTCTCTTTATTGTTATCATTATTATTATTATTATTATTTACACAGACACAACTGCCCAAATCATTCACTGTGTTACGCGCTCAAAAAATTGGTATTTCTTCTGTGTGCATATTTGTGTGTGTTTGTAAATTTGCACGTGTGCGCCACTCTGATTTTTTTATTCGCTTTTTTTTTTTTTTGCCTGTGATGTTTCGTCACGGCGGCTTCACCAAATATATACATTTATACATTTATGCGTATGCATGCAAGGAGTCAGGATAAAAGGAAGGACAGAAGAACAACACTTGAAGCCAATTTTCAAAGGTAGAAAACATACGTCATTGTACGTGTCACGGTTCTTCAACTTTGTAACGTTAAATAAAAACGACTGGGAGCGTCTAACATTTTGTTGTTGTTGTTGTTGTTTTGATTTTCAAAAGGAAAAAATAAATAATTTGTGCGATTTTTCAACAGAGTCAATATGCCCTCAGTGATGCATGTTGCTCTCTTTCGGCTACGCGATGGCATGGATGAAAACAAAATTGCGAGTCTTCTTCAAGCCGCTCGAGAGGAGGTCCCCGGCGTTGTGGAGATTCACTTTGGGGCGAACAAGGTGCGAAGTACAAAACACGGCGGCTTGTCGACGAACGACCAGACACATGCGCTCGTCTCACGCCACGAGCACAAGGAGCACTTTAAAAACTACATCCTGCACCCCCGCCACTTGGAACTCATGCAGTACATTTGTTCCTTCGCAGTGACCCCGGCGACAGTAGTGAATTTCTACGCGAATGAACGTCCTCACCTCTAAAGGAAAGGATCTACGAAAAAAAAACAAAAAAAACAAGGGAGGGGTGAAAGGTAAAGCGTAGAGAAGAAACCGTCATGGCTTTTTTTTCTTTTTTTAATTTATTTTTACGTGCCCGCATGCTGGGGAAGTTGTTGATGGGACGGAAGATGACGACCCTTGCTGTGACACTCGTATTTATGCCGTCCCACTCGTAACTGCAATGAAAGTACGGGTACTTTTTTTTTTTTTGTGTGTGTGTGCCACAGGGATGGGGTGAAGACCGTGGATGGGGGGGAGTGATGAGAAGCAAGAAGATATTCACACACACACACATATATATATATATATATGTGTCTATTGTGTTGGGACCTTGTGAAACTACTGTTTTTGAGAGGGCTGGCTACCTAATTTAATTAATGTATGATTATAAGAAGAAGAAAACGAAGATATTTATTTACGATTTCTTCGCATCTTATGAATCTTTGGAAGACCGCAATGGGAGGAGCCAATGAACCGATAACGTCAAGACGAAGCATTTTTTTTTTCTTTTTTTCTTTTTTTTGGAGGGGCAGGGGGTTTGTTTTGGTGTTTTATTTTTGCCGTCACACTCGGCACTTTTTTCTGATTACCCCCCACCTTGAGGCGGTGTCTTGTGGCTGGAGGATCCCAAAGTTTTCTACCTCGTAGGTAATATATATATATATGTGTAGATGTGTACACTTACCTGGTGTTAAACCTCGAGGATATGGTGAATCCCCACTCTTTTTCCATTTATCCCTTTCCTATTCCTATCGGGTTTGTTTTCTCCTATTGATAAACTCAGGATTTGGCCAGCGGCCCAGAGGATTATTCAGTGTTGTATTGGAGGGGGGAATTTGCTCTCTTTCTCTCTTTCGAACAGATGTATATTCATATGCGACTTTGGCCTTTTAAATAAGTTTTTCCTTGATGCAATGCTGCATATGTGTATATGTTTTTTTATGGTAAGGTAGAGTCTCAGAATTGTTTTCTCTTGTAGAACGAGACGCTACGGATGAAATGCGCGTAGGACCATCTATTCGACTGCTTTCTTTTGGATGGGCACGCGGTCCACTTTTACGAATGCGTTTTTTTGGTGGAAATGGAGCTCAGATTTCTTCTGCGGGGAAATTTTTTTGTAATACGGCCGCAGTGTTGTGCAAGAATTCTCCACAGCCCCTCCCATTGTTGACACCAGTGGAGTTTGCACAAATTGCACCGATGGTTTTGCTTTGTCAAGCTCTGAAGCAACACGCGGCTATGGACAGTGCTGTTGGCATAAACGGGAACAGCAATGTCATCAGCCGGGCGGTATTTAACCATTACTGTTCTGAAAGCCATGTAGAAAATAGTGACGAGGCGTTGCGGCTGTTGGAGGAATCAGGCAGTGTCGTCTCTCTTTCCAACGGGGAAGGAGTGCATCTTCGGCCCTTGCAGTTTGCACACATGTACGAAGATCTCACTGGGGAGGGGGAGGAGAAAGGTTCCACTTTGGCTTTTTTTCTTGAGGAGGCAACGAAACGATTGAAGGCTGCACAGGCTGAAGAGGCGGCGATGCGGAGTGAACTTCAACCAGCCCTAATGCGAGCTGCAAAGTGGCGTCGAGTGGTGTGGGGCGGTGCATTGTGCTTTTCAGGGGCGCAAATGGCAATTATTTCGCGTCTGACGTTCTTTGATTTTGATTGGGATACCATGGAGCCCGTATCGTACTTTCTTGGCACTGGCACGTCCCTGCTGTTTTTTTTGTACTTTCTCCGCCATGGGCGGTCACATACGTACGAGGACTACGACAGAACGACGCTACCAAAAAAACTGAGAAAATATGCTCCTCCTGGCTTTGATTGGGAAAAATATGAGGCCATCTGCAAAAATGTCGATGTTGAACGAAGAATGTTGAGTAGAATCAAGGAATGGAGGAAAAGACACTAAGCAAGGACAAGCTTTGGGCGTGCATGCATATGTTTGTATCTTACTGGTATGCAAACCTTGTTCTATTTGTTTGTTTTTTATTCCATGCTCCATTCCTGACCATGTACACTGCGCCGATGTGCGTTTGTAAGGACGGGGGTGAATGTCAATTCCCTCTCAATCCAATAGAAGTTCTTTCTTTTTCCCCCCCCCCCCCAGTCGTAATTTTGGTTACACACGCGAAAAGGCGGGAACTCGAATAAAAATAAAATGAAAAAAAAAAAAAACAGAAAAAAGAAAAGGGAGGAGTGTTTTCTACTTGGATCTTTTTTGTTTCTTTTTGCCGCGCTCCACCCTCTGTTTCACGCGTCCGTCTCCTTATTAACAATGTACGTTCATGCCAGCGTCGCATTTGGCTGTCACGGACAGCCATGCGTTTTGGTTTTGTTGTCGTTTCTTTCTTTCTTTTTAGGAGCTTGTGAAGAGGAATGATTGCGAGGAGAACTGGCTAACTTCATTAATGCAAGTGTATATCCTGATAAGTGAATGCATTCTTTATGATACTTTTCTACCGTATGAATCTTTTGGGAAGAACGCGACTTTGTAGGTGCCGGGAGCCGATAGCGGCCGGATAATATTTGTTTTATTTTGCCATCGCACCCACCCACTTTGGGATTCCCACCACGCGGCGGGGTATTGTGGCTGGAGGACCCCAAATTCTGCCACTTCGTAAGTAATTATATTCTGAGGACAAAGGACCATGCTAGTGGTCCACAGAATTCTATATATTGAATGAAAATAAAACATTGAAGCAATTAACTAACGAACCTTTTTCCTAACTTGTTTGGTTTCCATAGATAATTTCAGGATCCAGCCAGCTGCCCGGAAGATTAGTCTGAGTTGAATGCAGCCTTTTTTTTTGTTCATTCCCAATCGCCACAACGGTTTAAATGGTACTGTTCTATACTAACCTTTTTTTTTTCTTGTGCCTTTTTTGCAGCCATGTGTTTGCCTTCCCCCGCACGACATATGCGCATCGTGTGAAAAAAAAAAAGAGGGGTCGCATCCTTGTAGATAAATAATTGGATGTTTATTTGTGTGCGGAATAATAATGAAAAATACATCTGCACTTCAAGTCGTGGTTGCAGTAAATTTTTTTTTTTTTTTTGGAAAGGCCATACTTGCAATTTTGTCTCTGTTTGCGTGTGTCACACCATTGTCTTTTGTATTTCTTGCTGTTCCTGTTTTTTTTTTTTTTTTTTTGTGTGTGTAGCGGAGAGGCAAAAACTCTCTGGGTGACAACCGCCAACGATCATCGTCGTCATCGCGAGCATACACAGCAAGAGAAAAAGGCGCAACACACAATAGGCCAGATGCATATGAATCCGACCTCATCCATCTCGGAGAAGCCTATGAGCACTCGGAGAAAAATGAAAAGAGCGGAAGACACTGTGAGGCTTGAGAGGTCGAAGTTGTTGTTACACCGTCGTGAAAAGACGCATTGTGATGAGCAGCGGTGTTACGGCGCCGTTATTTCATCGACGGTGCGCAGAGCGAGCTCCGTGCCCGTGAACCGTCCTTGGCGAATTGTGACTGCGCATCGTTCTGGGTCGAGAGACCGGGAATTGACGATACGTGAACAGACCACGAGGTTGGCAGAGGAGGCGAAAAAAACACTCTTCCATGGAAGTTTTACCTCAAGTCATGGTGCAATGTTCAGCGTGCTGCCGCTGCACCGCCATGAGGGCAGGGTGAAGTCCATCACAAGAAGGCACCCCAGTGACACACATACGGCGGAAATGGAAGTGTTGTCACCAAAAAAAGAGAAGGGGATTTATACTAGCGCTGTGGATGTCGCCGCGCCAAGTGTTCTCAAGAAAGAAAAGGGATCATCATTTCTTCGCGAGCATCAGAGCTCTCCAGAGCCTTCCTCATTTACTATCGAGTATATTACTACGGCGAATCAACGTCCAAGAAGTGCGGACGCATCTTTAATCAAAGATGGCGGCCTTGGTTCATGTGTTAAGGAGCATGACATCCTGCGGGCAGATTCGGTTCGCATGGCAATAAAACGCCCCGAAAAAATTGGTACCGCGTCGCGCGAGTTTTTTTCCTCTCCGAGTATTGAGAAAACTCAAGCTGAGCCTGCGGCCCGTCCGGATGAGAAACGTATGCACATGATCAATACCGAGGAAGCTTCTTTACGGAAAGAAGAAACCAATTTTTCTCTGGGTTCATTGCCATATATTTATGCAGATATCAAGGCCGATGAGGGAATTCCTGACAAGACGAGTGCCCATCGCATTTCTTTTGCTGAACACGTTGTTATTAATGACCCTGATACCTACACCGAAGAGGAAGAAGAGGAAGAAGTAGAGATCAGCTACGGCGATGCATTAATAAATCTTTTGACCTTTTCTGTACCAGCTGCCTTAACGATTGGTTTTACATTTGCGGTTACTGTTGTTCCATTGGCTTTTATCGGAAGTTATTTGGGTGAGCTGTACCTTTCTGGTGCCTCTGTTGGATGCTTCATTTTGAGTATTTTTGTCTTATATCCAATGATTGGAATGACATTTGCAATGGATACTTTATGCTCACATGAATATGGGAGAGATCAGAATAGTCAGGAACTTGGACTTCTCTTGCAACGAGGCATACTTATCAATCTCCTGTACCTTACACCGGCATGCGTTGCTTTGTATAACGTGGATTCTTTTCTTGAAAGATTCTACGGTGTAGAAATAACAAGAGTAGCAAGAGATTTCTTGCATTACATGCCTTTGTTCATGCTACCCGAGATGATATTCATTGCGTTTAACAAATTTTTATGCAACCAAATGCGACCCCAGATGCCAATGTTTGCATTGGCTGCTGGATTTATTATAACTCCATTTGTGCAAATGAAATTGACACCGATGGGGGTCCGATACTCGATGCTTGGTATGTGTATTACGGCGTGGTTTCAGCTAGTAGTCGTCATTCTTATGACAATATACGTTCCACAGACGAGACACACACTTGGAAAACTACGTATCGTGGAGGCTTTGCAACCATCGGATGTAAAAGGATATTTAAAACTTGCTATTCCAAGTGCGGTCTTTGTTGCCGCAGAAGCCTCCTCGTTTGATTTAACTGTTTTGTTGTGTGTCCATTTTGGAGAACAGGCAGGAGCGGCGTGGTCAGGTATCATGAATGCTCTTTATATATTTGCCGCCTTCTCTGGCGGTTTGAGTGCGGGCGCTTGTGCCAATATTGGCCGTTGTGTCGGCTGCAATGAGCCAACGAATGCTCGGACGTACGTTGTGGCTTCTATCACTCTGGTATTATTGGTTAGCAGTATTGATTCAGCATTATTATATAGCTTTTTTGATTTTTTCATGTCGCTTTTTGGCACCAAGGGCCAAACGCTTCAGCTGGCACGTGAGACTCTCATTCTATTGCCAATCTTTCACATGGCGGATGCGGTACAATTCACATTTCAAGGCATTTTTAGTGGCTTGGGCAAAAACCATTGGGGTGCTCTTATCCTCCTATCCTCGCTATGGGGCGTGGGTATTCCTTTGGCGTTTTTCCTTGGCCTGTACCTTCAGTACGGTATCTTTGGTGTCTGCCTTGGCATGACCATTGCCTTATGCATTGAGGCCCCTGCGATGGTGGCAAGTGGTTGTATGATGGATTACCCGTCTGTATGTGATGCCTTTACTTTTGAAAGGATTAGTATTAGCGAAGAAGAAGAAGAGGAAGCGGAGGAGAAATGTTTAACGGGCGAGGACGTAATCCGTCGGTCGGGAATTCCTGTGAGTCTGTCGGACTTTGGCCCGCGACTAGTAACAGACATTGGGCGAATTAGAGTTCCACAGCACCATTAACTCAGAGAATTAAACGGGGTAAGCAAATTCTCCCATTCCTTTTACTTTTATTTTTTGTTCTTCCTATTTTTGCCAAAACCCCGTGAAAAGAACGGGCAGCCAGATGACTCTGAGTAAATGGGTGGGTGACTTGTTCATCTTGGATGTTTCTTTACATATAAATTGTTTTGGTTTTCCAATGCATCCTCCTGTAGGATGGATTATGTCATGTTCTTTATTTATTTGTTTATTATTGTTATTTAAAATGTGTTATTTGCGCTTTTACTGCGCAATTCCCTTTTTTTTTTTTTTTATTTACGTGCGTTGTTATCACCCCGCCGGAAATTGTGGTGGGAACACCGAAATTGCCGGCGCTGAAGGTTTGCAGTAATTCAGGGAAGTAAAGAAGAGAGTTGGAACGGACTGCAGGAGGAATTTCATTTACGCCGCAAAAAAAAAAAAAAAGAAAAGAAAAACAAGAGATAAGTGTGATTGTGCTGCAAAGAGAGGAAGAGCAGCAGGTGGTGGTGGTGAAAGAAGTGTAGGGCGGTGCATTTATTTATATACGAGGCGAGTTGGGGCGGGAGCACTGCGGTGTTTACACATCCCCCGGGAATGCAGGATAAAGCCACATTGCACGTCAATCACTGCAAACAAAGCAACGCTGCAACGTCCAACAGCGCAGGGGCGAATGGCTCATCCTGGAGCCTGGTCCGGCTCTTAGACTCAGAAGTAACGGAATTGCTTCGGGAGCAGAGGGAGTTTCTGGCCAAAGCCCAGGCAAACGAAATCCGTGCATCCATATTTTTACGTTTGCGACTAAGCGCCCAACAGAAACTGGTGGCGCAGCGAAATCAATTCTCCGAGCGTTGGGCCGTACAGAACAAACGCAGAACTAGTGCCATGTCCTCTGCCATGGCGCGTACGCCCAATGCGGCTGGGCCTCCGGAGGATTTGGACTCGAACCCCGAAGAAGAGGGAGAAAGAGAGGAAGGGTGGCAATGTCGGGGCTGTTTGCGCAACTATAACGATGCATCCGCTTTCACACGTCATAGAAGTCACTGCGCAAAATATATCCTGCCCAAAAAAAAACATGTTGGCGAAACGGTGTCTCTCACTGCAAGTTCTTCCCATGTTGGAATGAAAAGTCGCCAACTGTTTTCTACATCGTCTGTTGGATCCACATTTAAAGCAGAACTGGAATTCACCAGGCAGCGGCTGGACTCTGCGGGGGTTGGCTTATCGCGTGCAGAAGCAATCAATAATTGTGGTTTATCTTCTATTCTCAATGCATCTGGCTTATCTCATTCGGAACAGACGCGGCGAAATACTGCCTTTGGGAGCGATTCTGCCTTGCCAGGAACGGGTTCTTTACCAGCTGAAACTAAAAGCCCCAACCGTTCGCCTTCGATTCATTGTTTTTCTGCGTTGGAAGAACGAAGGGACGAGCGTGTGGAAGAGGATGGTAGGAAGGACGCTGCTCCCATTTTCTCCTTGTCAAGGGAGTTGACGCCTTTTTCGTCCGAGCTACTTTCGCAGCCAAAAATATCCCCCAGTGGCAGAGCTTCAATTGATGATGTGCCGGCGGCCGTTGCGGATCGGGCGTCGTTTGAAAAGCCCGCATCTCTTCCCATGTGGGTATCTTTGGCTGGTAATGCGAAGTTTGGCGAGGATGGAGACAGCACAGCAGGTAAAACTCAAAAGTCACTCTCTTTCGCTCAGAGCAAGGTGGTGTTTAATGGAAATGGCGTCAGCGGTACAAAAATACAAGAGGAAACAGAGAACATGGACGAGCCACTGCGGCCTTGTCCACACTGTGGTCGACATTTTTTTGCAGAGACACGCTGGCCACGTCACGTGGCGGTGTGTGAGCAACAGCAGCAACAACAGCGCCAACGAAAAAGTCAGGCTGAATCCTCACGGAGTGTACAGAAACCCTTTTCCCAGCGTGTGTCTCGCTCAAGCAACATGGAAAGCATGAACTTTAGCGGTAGTTTTCAAGAGGCCTTGCAAACCCCTTCGTCGAATAGAGGAAAAGCGGGGAACGCTGCAACCAGTGCTACGGAGAAAAAGTCTTCCAAGTGGCGACAACAGCGAGCACAGCTCCGACAAGCGCTGCAGTTAGGTAGTGCACGCTCACAAAACAATTCTTTAAAAAGTGTTGGAGACATCGATGTGTTTGAAGACGATCGTGTGGCCTGTCCTGCATGTGGTCGTCGTTTTGCCCCAGCAACGGCTGAGCGACACATACCGTTTTGCCAGGAGCGTCGCAGCGGACCCAAAACGATGCGTATCTAAAGGACTAAAAAGAACCACAGGGATAACGCCTAAAAAAGTAAATAGGAGAGATGAATGGGAAAAATAAGAAATGGACATTGAAACATAACTTAAATGCGGAAAAGCGAAAAGTGCTAGTGAAGTCGTTGTTGTTGTTTTTCGAAATATTATTTGAGGGGTTGGCTGCGGTGCAAAAATTGAAGATACGCGTCAATACACATCTACAACACATATGGAATCTGCGTGCTGTAGGTCCCATGAGTAGTGCGATGAGATATTTATCTCTGGAGTGAGTGACTGCACATTTTAGCGGGGAGTCCAGGGCCGAAGATAAAAAAGGAAAATAATTTCCGAGGGACTCGTGCCAGTAAGGGAGAGAAAAGGAAAAAGAAATAAATAATTTGCGGGGGACATTCCTTCACCGGATTGGGCGGAGATGCAAAAAAGGAACATTTTGCATTTGCGTTTCCCCCTGCGATGTGGCGTTCAAAATATTATTAGGTTGGAATGAAGTGGGCCGGAATGACTGGTCTGTCTTTCCTTCATTCCCTTACGTTGTATTATTATTATTATTATTATATATATATTGTTGTTGTTGTTGTTATCTGTGCCTGTGTGTTTTTTTTTTACGGGTTTGACACCTTGATGGAGTGTAGTTCCGTGTTTGGTTGTGGAGTGAGTGGATTTATTTTATCTTCCTTTTTTTTTTCTTTGGTTGTTTCTCATGCAACTTGCACAGCACCTTATTTTCTCTGAAAGAGCATTGACAAGATGCTATTGGATGATCATGTCGTGGAAGAGCGTCTTAGTGTGTGGCAAAAGAAGAAGGTGCGCACGTATGTTGTGAACGGGCGCTCCAAGGTATCCTCCCGGCGCTCTATAGCAGGTGCCCTTGCCATTGCGAAACCGTATGAACGCATTGAACTGGTGGGCGGGGAGTACTTTGAAACCATTTCCATCAACATACCTCTGGAGATTGTTGCTGCAGAGGGTGAGGACCCACGTATTTTTTCACGTGGCCCATGTTTGACAATTACGCAGGACGTGGAGGTGTACTTTGAGCATGTGGAGTTTGTCTCAAAGGGCAAAAGCAAATTGGACTCGGCGGTTGCCCTTATGAATGGCAAATCCGTTTTTTTTCGGTGCAAGATGAATTCCATTCTCATTGGCGGTGTTGCCAGGCCTGTTTTGGAGCAGTGTACCATCACGGAAAGCTACAATGGCTATGGGATCCAAATAGGAGGCGCAGGTGGGGCAGAAATACACCACTGCACCATCCACACGCATAGTGCAGCCTGCGTGGAAATAGATACAAAAGGCGTAGTTCTTCTGAAGAGCTGCACCATCCGTCAGCCCTCCAATGGAGGTCACGCAGTAAAGGTGCATGCGACGCAAAGTGGCTTTGATGATAAAATCCCAGTGGAAAACCTTGCCTGCAAGAAAGTGTCTATCAGCAAATGTCGTATCTATGTCACGTCGGAAATTTTTAGACCGAAGGAGCGCGAGTGGATGGTAACTGAAAAACTTATTGGGCTACCGAGCTGTGTACTTGTCTCGCGAGGCGCGTGCCCGGTATTCACCTACAATGAAATCCTCGAGGGATTTATTGGAGTAACGTTTGAGTCTGCAGGCGCCACGGTACTAGAAGGAAATTCTATATACAATCAAAAGAGTTGTGGCATCCTTGTTCTTGTGGACGAAAAAAGTCCTTACCCGGATGCAAAACAAAATCTTCGTATATCAGGTGGCAATGTGATCGATCGGTGCCTAATAGGGATAGACGTACATTGTCTGAGTAAGGTGAAGGCGTTTTCTGGTCCCGCTCAGGAAATTCTTCTTTCACAAGAACTTCCATCTTCAGGAAAAGCATTTGATTGGATTGAAAAGGTGCATCATTTGGAAAAATCGAAATCTTTTTCACAGGGAGACAAGAAAATGGATTGTACCCTTTATTTCAATGGGCGCAAGATGAAGTTATCCGAGTTGAAAGATGATCTGTGTACACTTGCCAAATTGGTATGTGCGGGACATCCTTCCCATTTTGGCAGTGGTGATGCCTCAGATGAGCGTCATGGGAATAATGGAGGCAATCCATTGAAGGACATCCTTCAAGAAACATTTAAAATATCACTTCCTTTGCCAAACGCCGCGGGTTGTGCGGCACAGTTGTTGAACCTTCGTGGAACCAGAGGTGTGGATATAGTGGATACTCGATTTTCTGGATGTGAGCTGTGTGCCATTCGTTTTGGACCGGATGGCTATGGACTTGTTGAAGACTGCGATTTTATCAATTCTGGAGCAACTGCCATTGTGGTGAGCGGTGGAGCCCATCCATTGATTGTGGGATGTAAATTTGAAAGTTCCAAGGGGGCAAGCATATTTGTGGATAACTTTTCTAATCCTCTCATTATGGGCAACGAAATCTCGCATAATGCAGAAAATGGAATTGAATTTTGTAACTTGTCTCGTGGAATTGTGATGGGAAATATTATATTTGGGAATACCTTGAGTGGGATCCTTGTGACAGGCGGAAGTACCACAACGATCGTCGGCAATTTTATTCAACACGGTCAAGGGGATGGTGCGACGGTAACTGGTGGAAGCAAACCGGTACTCATGATGAATAATTTTCTATCAAACTCTAAGTCTCAGTTGATGGTGTCGGAGTACTCGACGCCTTTTATTACACAAAACACGTTTACATACGGAGCCGGTTGTGGTATTCGCTTTGAATCCTGTTGTGGAGGAACCGTGCTGGACAACACCATCTCATATAACGACCGGGGGATTGTGGTGGAGCTGGACGGGGATCCTTATGTAGAGTCGAACAAAATCTCAAACAGTAAACGCCATGGTGTAATGGTGGGAAACATGGTCTTGGCACATTTGTGTCAACGAG